GAGACTGGCCATGGACTTTGTCTTGCTCTGTCTAGGAGGTTAGAAAATTGTCAGCCTGCTGCTCACAGTGTCTTCTGGGTTTGCCCATGGAGCAGGTGGGTCTTTCCTGGTGTCTCTTACCAGGTGGATAGAGCCTCTCACAAAAGCAGGCTCTGGGTTTCAGTGCCCTACTGTCATTACAAAGCTTTAAACATCTAACAGTAAAGGAATTTCAGTGCTTACCTCCGTGGGTTTAGAAAAAATACATCCTGCTGAGCAGAGTCTACCTCTGTCATTGATGCAATTAACTAGTGCTGGGTGTAGGAACCCATGCGTGCGGGCAACCCCGGCCAGCACCAGCCCTCACCTGGCAAGGTGATGAGCTCCATGGGTGTTATGCTGTCTCACTGTGACATGGAAGGGCTGGGCTAGGCTGTGCATAGTGCTTTGCTGGATCAGCACCGAACTGCAGGAGTGTGGATTTGCATGTACGACAGTAACCTGTGGTTAGGCATCATTATCAAGTGAGGAGAGGCGTCGAGTTGTACACAAGGCAGCTTGGACCAACATGTGGTCAGGTATGTGTGGTGGGTTAACCCTGGCTGAGCAAGAGATGCCCACCAAGCCACTCTGTCACCCTCCCCCTTTCCAGCCTCTGCAGAACAAAAAGAGGAAAGGAAAAAAAGATGGAGACAAACCCCTTGTGGGTAAAAACAAAGAGAGTTTAATTAGCAAGCAACGTTGCATGTGGAAGTGAAGAGAACAAATCAAAGGTTTATTCTGTACTTCCCATCCCCAGGTGATGTCTGGACTTTCCTGGGAAGCAGGGCTCCAAAGCATGTTGCAGTTGCTCTGGAGGACTGAGGAGTAGCCACCCCCCCAGCTTTGTACCAGCTTTAGAGTTGAGCTGTCATATGGTCTGGAATTTGGTTAGTTCGGGTCAGCTGTCCTGGTTATGTTCCCCCAAGCTCCTGCCCCCCGTCCCACTGTGGGGGGAAGGTTAGAAAGTGCCTTGGTGCTGTGCAAGCCCTGCTCAGGGGTAGTCACAACATGGGGGTTACCAGCACCCTTCCAACTCTCAGCACAAAAGCTCTGCACCAGGAGTGCTGTCATGGGAAAATCGGCCCAGCCAGACCCGATACAGTATGAAAGACATGTATCTATTACAGAAGACATTAGGAGAAGGAGGCAAGTGAAATTTTAAAAATTCAGCATGTAGCTTCAAGTTTACTGATGGCAAGACATCATCTAGCATGGCGCTATGAACTGTGCCATTAGAGCCCAGCAGCCATGCAGTCAGATGGGGGCTCACTTCACAGGAGGATGAGTGCCCCGTGGTTGAGGTGGGCACAGCTGGACCTCAGAGCACCAGGCCAGAGCACCTCTCCTTATAGACTAGCTTGGGCAAAACAGAAGAGGAGAGAGGAAAGAAACTATTAACACAGATGGCATTTTGAGTGCTGCTGTTTTTTTCTAATCTAGGAGCCAAATCTCAGAATAGGAGATTTTAAGTGTAAAAGATGAATGATTCCATCACTATAGTAAAGGAGAGTAAAAAGATACCAAAGAGATCTAATGAGAAATGTAGACAGAGTTCTAATGAATGCTTGTGAAGCATGCAAGATTGCAGTCAATATTCACACTACTGATGCAAAGAAGTACAGAAGTCCTAGATAGTTATTACTATGATAGAAATAAAAAAAAAAAAAACCAAAACAAAACTGTAGCTGGCACTGCATTCAGAATGAGTTAAATAAAACTTCACACTTCACCTTGTAAGGAAGATGGAAAACCTGGGGAAATGGGGAACAGATTATTCTAGATGGAACCACACTGCTCCTAGGTAAGCTTAACAGAATTGGTGTAATTCAAATTAAAATCTAGTAGAAAGCCAAGTGCAAAATTCCTGCAGTAGCCAGCAGACAGTGGAAAAGAAATACAGCTTGATATTTCAAGAGGTGACTTAAGAAACAGCCCACACCTTTTAAATTTTTATATCATTACAGCAATTATATGATTTGAAACAGGCAGTCAAAAGTTACAAAGAATGTTTATGCAAAACCAAATTTATAGAAAAGATAAATAAGAACGTTCAACTTGGCTGAAGATTAGCCTGATACATCCCAGAAGGAATGATGATCCAGTGTGCTGCTTTGATGCGGGGCTGCCACTGCACAAAGGCGGTTTCCGGTGGATCTCAGAGAACAGTAGAGCACCTTCAAGAGTTCACCATTTGAAATATGATTGAAATAAAGTGAAATAAATTTGTGTGCTAAGGCTGTAGAGCATTATGGTTAGGAAACTGAAAAAAATACATACATGTAACATCTAATCCAGTGATGTGTGGCAATTTCCAGCATGGTGTTTTTTCTTCCTCTTAACGATTAGCCTGAGTAATTTAGTGCATCACTGAAGCAAAGGACCCAGATGTATTTTCCTGAAACAACAATGGCCAGCCATAATACCAAGTTTTTTAAAATGAGTACAAAAGGCGTCCATGCAAAATTGACAAAAATGTTTTATTGGAATCAATTTGGAACAGTTCTCCACAAAACACAGCATTGATTCTGGTCTACCTTCAAACTGTTTTTTGGAGTTTCAGCCTCTTCATTACTACAAGACTGGTCCTGAGAAAGGTCACATACAAACCCATCTGGCTTTCAGGCAGTCTCTGGGGGCTTTTGGTGACGCTGTCCACTGCAGAAACCATGAACCTGGAAGGGATGGACACACTATGGTCTGACACATTGAAAGCAATCATGTGTCAAATTTACTATGAAGGAAAACCGGTAAATTTAAACCGGAAGTTGTGGAGCTCTACTTGAAAACGCCAGGTGAACAAACTCTATTGTTAGGCACCTTTGCTTAAGAGCTGTAATCCATAGCTTGGTAAAAGTCAGGGTTACCTCAGGCAGCAGTGAGGCAATAGGCTCAGGTGAGCAGTGCTAACTGTAGGCCTTAGTAACAACCTGTTTGGCACAAAAAGCTACGTGTAAAGAAAGACACAGGGCCTGCTATGTTCACCCTAAGCCCACTGGACCATATCATCCTATAGCACCACATTTGTATACTTAGTAATGGGCTTGTAGAGTTACTGTAGTCCAAAAAAATTCCATAAGAGAGGAAAATTGAGCATTTGTTTTTCCCCAGGTTTAAAGACATCTATGTCACAAATAATATTCTCAATTTTAGTACTGGAAACTGGTATATCATCAATCAGAAATTTAAATACATTCTTGACCCCACCCCCTATTTTCTTCAGCTATAGAGCTTTGCTGAGGCAACAGCTTGGAATGTTATAACTTTTGCCATGTCTGAGCTCTCATTGCCATTCAAGACCTACAACAGACTTTTGAAATGGGTGGCAAGTCTTAAAATACAGCATTAGTAGATTTGTAATGACATTCATAAAATTTCTGAAGTTGCCATATCATTTAGCAATTTCATATACAATTTTGTATATCACTTTGAAAGATCCCTTATTTTATAAAATAATTATGAAATGTACAACTCGGAGGCCACCTGGACAACATTGGACCCCGTATAGCAGCAATATTTCCAGAAGATATAGGACAATCCCTTGTGATTTCAGAGCGGAACAGGCATGTTCCTCTGTTACAAGGAGAGAACTCTGTAACTGGAGAGAAAAAAAGTCACTCTGTCACAGAGTCCTTGTAAATAATTCCTCATATTATAACTGATCTTTATCTTTAGGAATTTTCACAAGCATATTCTGCACTTAAAGCCTGAAAGACATTAACAAGTTGAAGGACAAAGCAGGCCTGTTACAATGATTACTGTCCTTTAGCAGACCAACCCCTAGGCAGCTTCTCTGTGGGTTCCAAAATTCTTCTGCAATTTGACTAGTTTGCAACTTGTTATCGAGTTGGAGGCCAGCTTTGCAATTAGCATAATTTGATCCTCAATTCCTTATCAAAGGATTTCTAGAACATTTTAGAACATGTCTGATAGAGAAAAAAAGAAACAGACTGCAAAAGAACCCATTTTCTCCAGTCCCAGACAGAGCTGGTGATGGGGAAACAATTCTGAGTAAAGGAAAATAAATCCAAGTTCCTCAAGTAAGCTAATCATTGTATAACAGAATGTAGACTAGTTCAATTGGAAGGGACCCACAGTAATCGTTTAGTCCAACTGTGATGTACTTGTCATTTTTCTAGATTGCACAGTGAACTCTGGATCAAAGGGATGGCATGCAGAGGGAATAAGCAGGAAGTATTTAAGAAATTAATTTCTCTCCAAATGAACCATCAGTATCTTTCTGCTGTAATGGTATGCTGGGCACTAGAAACAGTAAAAGCAACACAGGGGAGTGGATTTCTAGTCTTGGAATTCCATTTCTTGAAGAGTAAGACAGAAAAATAGGAAGGCAGAATCTGCTACTATCACCGGCAATTTGCTCTGCAAAGCATTGTTTTCTTCAGGGTATTAAGAGTATATGCATTACCCATCTATGGACTGTAAGAGGATCAATGCTGAGCAGATAGCACTCACTGAATAGTTAGAGATGCCCCTTTTATTAACTAGCAAAAAATATCACTATTTAAGATGATTCTTTCCACTTGAGCTGAATCATAAAAAAGCAGACCTCTTTACTGTAACTATCTTAAAGAAATTCTGTTTCTACAACTACATGAAATGCCTTTTATTGCAGAAAAAAAATTAATAAAGTCAAAGTGTACAAAAAACTATGAGAACAAATGTTAGATCAAGCGAAGATGAAAGGGTAACTGTGGCCCCGCTGAACAACGCGTATTACACACCTCATTACTCATCTGAAAGAGAACTGGGACACTTATTAAAATAAAAACCAACACAACAACAAAATCCCACAGTTTTATAATTGTCCATCCTACAAGCTTCTTTCATCCATTCTACTGCTGCCCCAAATGCAGAAGTTGCATGCTTCAGAGCAGCACGCAGCTAGAAAGGTTTAACATCATTATTGATTCAATTAATTTGTACTTTTAAACAAAACTTTATCAGGCTTCATTTTCTTTTAAACCTTATTCTCAAGTCATGTTTTATAGGCAATATTCTACAATCTAGCTTTGGCAGTGGTTGATGTAACATTCTGAAGAATATTTGCTGTCCACAGAAATTGCTTTAGATCTTTAAAATATCATGACCGAAACAGAAGTTAATTCGTAGAAATGGACAGAGATGTTAAAAAGATACTTTAGAACAATCATTGAAAGCCTTTACTGTATCATAGTCACTTCAAGTGTTGTAAAGCAGTTTTCTACAATCTTCAGCTTTTCTTCAGAAAGCAGGTTTTCTTGCTTCAGTTGTCCTATAAGAGCTTCCAAGGACCTGAGTCTCCCCAAAGTTTTTGTCTCCTCCATTTCAAGTAGAGTGATCTTAGAGTGGAGCTTTGAGATTTTTTGCCAAAGGTGATCTCTGTCTATGTCTTGTTTGCAGTATGAATGCTCAGTTTGTAATACTTCACTTCCACCATATGCAGTCATAAACACAGATTTATCTGTTTCTGTCTCCTCAGTGTGAAGAAAATTTTGCTTAATAGGCAGGAAAGAATTACTAACTATTTCAGGCTCTTCTGGGCTCTCGGCTGGCACAATGATAGCAATGACAGATTCTTCACTCCCACTGAGCTGTTCAATGGTTTGTGTGACAGTACTCAGCAGAACTGCATCTTCACTTGTTGGTTCTACTTCAACAGAACAGCCTGCAACGTGAGAGTTAGGGTTTTCAGTTCCATAGTCAGTACTCGGATCGGGAGCATTTTTCAGTTTCAGAGATGAACTCAAGTAGTCAGGGTCTGTAAATTGCAAGACTGTAGCTGTACAACCTGCTGGGTCCTCTACAGAAGTATGGACACTGGTAGCTTCCATGCTCTGGACTGCTGCTGTCATTAAAACTGGATTAGGAAGTTGTACAGGCTGATTAGAAGAAATATCAAGAATAGCACTGTCTGCCTGAAAGTCTTCTCCATTTTGAAGCTGCAGTTTTTGAATTTGCAAAGGTTTACTCAATGCATTTGAGCAAACTACTTCTGCCTTTTCATCTACATTTTCTGCAATTACAGGATTTTTCTTTGGTGTACAAGGTTCAAGTGATACAGATGCCTTCTCTGACTCTACATTTGTATTTTTTTCTTCCAGGTTGTCTCTCTTCATCTGTTGTGGGGTGTTCTGAGAAGAGTCTTTTTGCTGGAGGAAAAAAAAAATAATCCAATCACCTTGTAACTAGGAAGTCACTTGAGCACAGAAAAAAAAAAAAGGGGGCAAATCTCATTCTATAACATGGTACTGTGTAACTAATAATTTATATGAGCACCATTTAAAAATTACACCAGAGACCTGAAAATTCATCTGTGTGTTCATAACTTTGCTTCAGGTCCTAAATGCTAAAAAAATGTTTAAGGCTCTAAAGGCAATAATACTACTATTAATTTTTTTTTTTTTTTAAACTCTAAGGAGCTTTACTGATTTATACAAGACATCATAATTTTAAAAGCATCTGAAAAGAAGCAGCTGGACAAATCTGTTCTATAAAGACTGGCTAGCATCTCCTATTATGACCTGAAACATTGTATTAAATAAACACAGCACAAGGTTTTTGCATGAAAGATGGAACAAAGTTGTTCTAGCCAGTTAGGGCAGATTTTTAGTGATGAAGTCCACTCCAGAGACTTAAATAACAACAAAAAAGATTATGAACACAGGCTTGCAGAACAATGAAACATCAACTCACAAACACACAGCCAGGTATTTAAACTAGCCGTTCAATTTTGACAGCTAAACTTCACAATTCATAAAAATTGTGACAGGAAATGTCACCTCTGGATAGTGCTGCTTGGAGACCTTTACTTTCACTGACAAGCTTCCTTGTCCATCTGTCCCTGCCCTCACACTCTTACAACAGTCTTCAGAATAAACATCCTTGCAGGCTAATGTAGAATGGTTTCTGGTATTGAAATGCAGGCAGCTAACACCGTTCATGGGACAAACGCTCCCTATTTAGAAGAAGAAATGATTAAATCATTAAGCATTTCTGAGGAAGTTTCCTTGCTCCGTAAGACATCATGCAAGGTGATGGAGAACAACACGTAAGTATTGCAACTCTTCCCTCTCTTCACCCCTCTGTTTTCCAAACCAAGGGTCTACCAACAAGTGTTGAAAGGCGGCTTGGGACGTTAGCTTCTTGTTCTCTACATCAGCGCGGGAGCACAGTAAGAAGGAATTCTCTCCCAGAATAAGGACAGCTCTTTGTGAATATTCGGTCTAGGCAGAAATTTCAGTTTTGGGGCAACTACAGAAGCAGTGGCCAAGTCAGTGGGTACTGTGAAATGCTGGGGTTTAACCCCCGAGCCCCCGAATTAAGGTGGACATATGGGTGATTCCCACAGCCCTTCACACAGAGGTGGTGAGTTGGCCTTATAGCTTCCCCCCAGGGTGCGGCCGGCCCTGCAGGGAGAGCCAGAAGGGAAATGAGCCCCAGGGGTCCCGCATTGAGTTGACAAAGGTCAGGTGTCTGCTTGGGGATAAAAGCTGGGACCACTGGCAGGGAGTCAGGAGTGTCTGTCTGTGGAGTGCACTCCCCAGAGCGTCCTGGTTCAGGGCAGACCTCCTGACTCTCCCTGGAGCTGGGCCCCAGTCTGTTTAGACCTTTGTGAATGCGGGTCGATCGGGTGAGAGTTGCCATGTGGGCACCTTTTTCTCATGTGTTTAACTGGCTGGGGTGGCTGTTTCTCATGCCAACTATGGGCAACCTCGGGTCACTGTTTGTACCACCTGTTGTGGGCCGGGTCATGTCGTTTGTGGGATCGTTGGGGGTGGCGTCGATCATGTCCGAGCTGGTTGACCTGTTTGTACCCCCGGCGGTCATTCATACAGTAACATTTCTGTCTACAATACAGTCTGCATATTGGTTCATCTCCCTGCTGGTGCTATCATTTTTGTTGGGCCTGGTCATTGGCAAAACATACTGTTGATTTACACAGGTGGTCACTGAGAGAACATGTGCAGATATTTAGAAAAGCGCAGCTGGAAGAGTGATGTTAAAGAAAATAACACCGGAGAGAGAAGTGAGACCCCAGGAAAGCAAGCTCACAGTATGACAGATAGCTAGAACTGGCATCTTTTTTCTTTTGATGTCAGGGAAGTGATGGATACACTGAAAGGAAGCACAGAATAACTCCTTTTCCCAAACTGGATAAATTTATCTGGGATTTCCCATATATATTGCTAAAGCAAACATAATTTAGAGAAGCCATTGGTATGTTACTGGCAACACCACTGCATAAAAGGTTTGTTAACTTAATAAATCTACTAGTCCACCTTTGTAGGTGTACTGTGACTGGTCTACAGTCACACACAAAATGAGATAATGAAGAGGTGGGGAAAAGCCAGCTTCTCTTTGGGGGAAAAATCACAGTTTATCTGCAATTACACAGAAGCACAGGGCAGCAAAGTCCAGTTCCAAAAGTAGGGCTCCCTGTTACAATGACAGCCCAGGGATGGGAGTGATATCCTGAAGCGGGGTGTGTGTGTGTGTGTGTGTGTGTGGAAGGAAAGTTAAGACCCGATAAATTACTACCATGAAAAGTTTTAAGATTTTCTATTTTTTATATTTCAGAGGTTAATCAGGATTGCTTTTCACTCTACAGAGTCAAAAGCAGCCTGGGCAACACTTGCAGCTATCCAAGAAGATAGAGAACTTTGACTAAAAATAAATTATTTTGTAAAAGTAATTAGCCATACATTTCAGTTTCACAATTTAGCCTCAATAGTAATTCCTGTCTTTCAATTTCTCCCACCTCCAATATGATGATCTGGAGAAAGACAGTTATAGGCCGGAAGAGAATTAGCACAGTCTAATCTTGATCAAGATCATGTGCCTGTGTGGCACAGTATTTTTACGTAACCAACAGTGCAACTCTGAAAGACGCGATGGAGCAGTCATTGTGGCATATCTCAGCACCCTACACTCCTGAGCTTCTAGGTATCAGAGATGTTAGGGACAGAAAAGAGAAATGTGCTGTTTGAGACCGATACATTCCAAAGACCATATTTATTTACTATTAATAAAAGGTCTTAAAAGAACATGAAAATACTAATCGAGAGTAATTTCACAGGAAAAAAGTATTTAGAATCATAATATTTTCAAGGAGAATTTACTTTCCTATGGAAAATTTCCTGTGAGAAACGCTTCTGTAATTATTCATTAAAAAAGATTCTGAGCCACCAGTCAAAGTATGCAAAGTCCTTCTTCCTTTCACATATTCATTTTGTGTCAGGAACTCTATTTTAAATATAAAATACGAATATACTAGATATACTTAGAACACCTGCACTACACAAAGAGTTGGTTAACTCTGTACTAGAACGAAGAAGAGACACGAATACCTTACCTCATCCCCCGGGGCAGAGAAGATGGTCGGCACGGCAGTGTGCTTGAGGTAGCGAATCCCCCACCGCACGTCGAGGGAGTCGGGGGTGAAGTGGTCGCTGCACAGCAGCTGGTGCCTGCTCGGCGTCCACGCGTCCCGCTTCATGTTCCGCAGCCACTTCTCCAGCCTCTCCTTATCGTGGAGGGGAAATCTGGTTTAAAGCAGTTGAACCAACAAACAAACCAAACCGTTATTTTGTTTTCTTTTTTTAAAGAATAACTCATTGTTCCTTACAAGGCAGTCTTTCCTTACAAAAAGATTAAAATAATCATTTTCTAAACATTTTAAAACTGAAATGCTAATCAGGATGTCACTTACTTGTTAATCTAAGAATAATCCCAATTATTTCTAGTTGGATATTTGCTCCAGAGTTCAGTAGCACAATTTTATTGATTTCTGCTGGCCAAGTGTATCAGAACCCACGGCCAAGGTGTTTCAAAAGGCTTGATCCTGCAACATTTGCTCAGAAAATAGCTCTGCAGTCCGATGAAATACTCTGACCTCAACTAAAAAGCGTGAGGTCTGGTTTTCTTCTGGTGACCACTTGCCCAACATAGAAAGATATAATCATTAACAAGCAGACTAACAGCCAAATTTCTCCCTCTGCTCTTAAATCATACACAAACAATCCAAGGTGCCACCCCACTGGAGGGAGGAATAAGTTATTACACTCACTCACTGCATAGGATGTGAAGAAGGGAGCAAGCTGGCCCAGGATCCGAGCCATGGGAGATGGAACTAGCCAGGTCATGAGTCCAATAATGTAGTAGGGACTCATCTCTCTCCCCACCATCCTGGGAACTCTGCTTGCTATATACAGTCAGGAAGCCTTTCTGACAACCAGAATCCTCACACAGCACATACATACACTACATAAACACATCTCCCAACACCACTGCAAGCAGAGTCAGTTTTTATGTGGAAGGTGGGGGCAGGTGGTGGTGATCTAATCAGTTCCCACAGAAGGCTGGCCAGACCCTGGGTGAAAACCAACCAGGAGGGTCTTTCTTGCCTGGTTGTGGACATCACCCATATGCCAACCCTCATTCAGGGCTGGGGGTCTAAACCCCAGCACTTCAGGTCCTCATCTTAGAAATAGTATTTGTGGTGCTTTCTGGTCTTACTAGATAAAACTAGTAACGAAATGTTTTGTTACTATCTTTTGTTTAAGGGTATCTCTTAATATATGCCATAGTTTGAATTACCAGGTAACTTGAAAAGGTGAGTATTTCCAGGATTTAAATTTTGTTCAAAAAAGTAAACACACACAAATGCAAGGCATTTCTATATTCTATGTTTCAGTAATTAAGCTTTCTCACAACATTGAGAGCCCACACAATATTACATAATCCAAAACTAACTTTTCAACCATCTAATCTACTTGAAAACGAAAATTAAAGAGTACACACATTCACAGAAAAAAAAAGTATCTATTTTGAAAATATATGCAAACGGTCATGCAGATTACATGGGAATAAGAACTAAATTAAAGTGGGTGAAGAGATGCAATTTACTTAATGACTCGTGATACACAAATTAAAGGCTCATTATGATGCCTGTACAGTCAAGCAGTTATGAACATTCAGACTACTCTTGGCTCTCACATCTTACCAGACAGACATCAGGGTATTTCTAATGCACTTACACATTCCTCTTCTGCATACCAAGTTTCTTTTAACTCTAACACATAAACACATATGCTATACACAAACTACAACCTGAATCCTGAACCCTGTTATATAACTACTGTTAAGAAATCAATATTCCATAGAATCATAAGCAATGATATATATAAGGTTTTGTGTAGATGAAACTGTAAGAGACAGATTTGGTCATTAACCTGACCTGCTCATAACTGTAGAACGTAATAAGTATTTACTGTTGGCAGTATAATGGACAAAAAAAATCCAGACATGAAGATGTGCCTACATTCTCTTTACAAGAGCCGTTTTGTTTTACTCACTGAACAGAAATGGAGCATTCTTAACACCATTTCTCCTCCCTTAGCTCATTTTTTCCTTTAACAATCTTTAATAAAACTTTTGGTTATACTTATTAACATGTGTTTATGGACCTTCAATGCAAAAAATTGGTTCTGCACTGAGGTTTTCCTACACCACAGAAGCTGGGGAGAGAGTCTGGAGTGCCCAGTGTCACTGAAATGCTACAAAAGTCACCAGTCGGTCAGGCTACTTCTTGGCAAACCCTAGATCCCATCCTCGAAGAGCCTTCAAATCCTTGAAGCTGCAGAATTCTTCCAGAACCCACACATAGCAATGCCTCTCTCATGCAGGCCCACAGCATTCCAAAACTGCAAACTTAGCTGACTCTGAAAGAAAGACACTGCAGGTTCACAAGAAATGTGCATGTCTTCACCTCTTCTCCAATCTCTTGAATTTGTTACCATTTAATTTTTCAAACTCCCAAGGAAACAGAGTAAGCTTTTGATGCATCTGGCTCTGTCTCTCTGCAGGAATG